AAAGACACTGCTAGAAGGGGAATGATCTGGACAGAGACCAAAGTAAATCATACTTAGGGGAATAGAGCCATCCCCCAAACATCATGCCATCAGTCACAAGGTTATGTGGGTACATGCCAATGGCAGCTTTGCCTATTAATGAAAGCAGAATAAGTTGGTCCATGTGGTGAAGGCCTTCTGAGCCAAATCAGCAGAGATTCTGCTTGCCTGAAACTGAGCTATCTGCCAAGCTCCCCCAAAGTCCTGGCTGGACACCCAGACTGGAAATAAGAAACTCAAGAATAATGAGGGCTGGGAAGGGAGGGGCAGAAAGAGCCATCACGAGGCCTGAAGCTGGACTACTTGCTCTTTTGCTCTTTGTCAACATGATCCCTTTGTTCCCTCATCTTTCCTTCCTTCCTTCCTTCCTTCCTTCCTTCCTTCCTCTTTCTTTCTTTCTTTCTTTCTTTCTTTCTTTCTTTCTTTCTTTCTTTCTTTCTTTCTTTCTTTCTTTCTTTCTGCTGTGATAGGGCTTGAACTGTGAGCCTGGGTGCTGTCCACGGCTTTTCCTGGCCAGGCTGGCTTTGAACCATGATCTTCAGATCTCAGCCTCCTGAGTAGCTAGTATTACAGGCTTCAGCCACCGGTACCCAGCTCTGTTCCCTCATCTTTTCTCTTTTTTGTTGGGGGGGGGGGGGGATCCAGTCATGGGGCCTGAACTCTGGGCCTGGGCGCTGTCCCTCAGCTCTTCAGCTCAAAACTAGTGTTCTACCACTTGAGCCACAGCGCCACTTCTGGCTTTTTTCTTTTTGCTTATGTGGTGCTGAGGAATCAAACCCAGGGCCTCAGGCATGCAAGGCAAGTGCTCTACCACTGAGCCACCTTCCCAGCCCCTCCCTCATCTTTTCTAAGGAAATTTAAAAGTATTTCTTTTTTTTTTTGGGGGGGGGGGGGTCCGGTAGTGGGCTTCCGGCTTTTTTCTTTTTTCTTATGTGGTGCTGAGGAATCGAACCCAGGGCCTCATGCATGTAAGGCAAGCGCTCTACCACTGAGCCACCTTCCCAGCCCCTAAAAGTATTTATTTAGAAGCTATAATGGAGGCTGTCAGGACCAAGAAACACAGACAAGAAGAAGAGTACATTTCTGGGTTTGTTTGTTTGTTTTTGCCAGTCCTGGGACTTCAACTCAGGGCCTGAGCACTGTCCCTGAGTTCTTTTGCTCAAGGCTAGCACTCTACCATTTGAGCCACCGTGCCACTTCTGGCTTTTTTCTGTATTGTGGTACTAAGGAATTGAACCCAGGGCTTCATGCATGCTAGACAAGCACTCTACCACTAAGCCACATTTCCAGTCCCATTTCCATATAATTTTAATAAATGTAAGTTTCCAAGAGGAAGGGTGACTACTTCTGACAGTTTCCCTTGATATTGACTTTAAAAAGACTCAGAGCAGCAGGATAATAATTAAAGGCAATTTTATCACATAACCTTGCTAAATCTAAGAATTGAGCCTAGTGCTGGTGGCTCACACCTGTCATCCTAGCTACTCAGGAGGCTGCATGTAAGGATCATGTTTCAAAGCCAGCCAGGGAAGGAAAGTCTGCAAGACTCTCATCTTCAATTAACCAGTAAAAAATACTAAGTGGAAGTGTGGTTCAATTGGTAGTGTGTCAAGCTCTGAGTTCAAGCCCCAGTCCTGGTACACACACAGATACACACACACACACACACACACACACACACACACACACACACATACACACATACACACAAATCTAAGAATTGAACTGAGTTAGCAATGGAAAGTTGTAATAAAAATGTGACAAAAGGGGCTGGGAAGGTGGCTCATTGATAGAGCATGCCTGAGGCCCTGGGTTCGATTCCTCAGCACCACATAAGAAAAAAAGCCGGAAGTGGTGCTGTGGCTCAAGTGGTAGAGCACTAGCCTTAAGCTGAAGAGCTGAGGGACAGTGCCCAGGCCCAGAGTTCAGGCCCCACGACCAGACCCCCCCCCAAAAAAAAAGTGACAAAAATCAACAAAAATTAAACTGAAAAAATAACTTCATGAAGAGTTTTTAAATCTTAGTGTTTGTATCCTCAGCACCCTGCAGAGCACCTGATACATGGTAGGAATGCAAATTGTTTGAAAAAATGAAATTAATGGTAAGTACATCATTAGACACATACAGCAAAGTCCCCTGAAGGTCTGTTTTCAGAGAATCTTTGGATTTAGAGATATAAATATTTAATAATATGTGGAAATAAGCCAGGAACAGTGGCTTAAGCTGATAACCTAGCTACTTGGGAAGCAGAGATCAGGGATGGAAAGTTACAGGACCGTCTGGCAAAAAGTTAGCAAGGTTCTGTCTCAATGGCTGGGTGCAAGGGTACACACCTGTCACCATGCCTCCACGGGGATGGCAGAGCCCTAATTCAGGGTGGCCTTGGCAAGAGTAAGATCCTGTCTCAAAAGTAACCAAGGAAAAAGGGGGAGAGACTTGCCTTGCAATGGAGGCTCTGAATTGCCAAAAAAGGAAAGACAATGGGAGAAAATGGAACCTATATTCTTCCTTAAGAAAGCATAAGCCAGGGCTGGGAAGGTGGCTCAGTGGTAGAGCGCTTGCCTTGCATGCCTGAGGCCCTGGGTTCGATTCCCAGCACCACATAAGCAAAAAGAAAAAAAAAGCCAGAAGTGGCGCTGTGGCTCAAGTGGTAGAGCGCTAGCCTTGAGCTGAAGAGCTGAGGGACAGCGTCCAGGCCCAGAGTTCAGGCCCCACAACCGGACCCAAAAAAAAAAAAAAAAGAAAGCATAAGCCAACTAATTTGATGACAATAATTTGAAATACATATTATGCCTTAATTGCAATATCTCATAACCCTTGAAACTTACGCTCAGTAAGATTAAGACCCTTTTCCAAAGACTAAGCTGGCAAGAGACAGATCTCAAGAGCTTATACATGCTTTTTTTTTTCCACTACACTTTCTGAAAGAAAGAAGAGGAAGGGAGTGTGGGAAGGGAAGGGAAGGGAAGGAAGGAAGGAAGGAAGGCAGGGAGGGAGGGAAGGAGAGAGGGAGGGAGGGAGGGAGAGAGGGAGGGAAGGAGAGAGGGAGAGAGGGAGGGAAGGAGAGGAAGGGGGGGGGGGACAGCCAGGCAAAAGAGGCTCCATGCCTGTGATCCTAGCTGCTCAAGAGGCTGAGATTTGAGGATCCCAGTTCAAATCTAGCCCAGGCAGACAAATCCATGATTTATCCACTTTACCAGCAAGAAGCTGGATGTGGAGCTCAAGTGGCAGAGCCCCAGCCTTGAGTGAAAAAACTAAGGAACAATGCCCTAAATTCAAGCCCCAGTATTATTAACATTAAAGGAAGGAAGGAAAGAAGGAAAGGAAGGAACAAAGGAACGAAAGCAGGCAGGCAGGCAGGCAAGCAATTGTCCACAGAGAAAACCCTGCAACTTTTCTAGACTAGAAGACTTTCTAGTTTGCTAAACTAAAAAGTTAGAAATAGAGTCACTTTCAGCTCAAGCAGAACTGACCAAACATCAGAAGTGGTGTGTTTCAAACTCCACACTTAAATTCTGAATCTCACATTCTTCACTACAGATTTTTTTGTTTACTTGAACTACAAATTTGAATCTGACAGGAAATTTTACACTGGTTAAACAGAAAATAACAAAGTCTTCAAGCCCCCTTTCTGGAAATTAGGCATCTTTAAGCAGAAGATTCTAACAAATAGGGTTTCTACCTGGCTCACTGCCACAGAATTCAACACTGAGAGAGCCAAGGTCTGGGATTTACCCTCAGTTCCTGGGCAAGGGCCAGGAAAACGGAGCCAGACAGACAGAGGCTGGAATTGTAAGGCTCCAAAGTTGGTTTTTTTTTTTTTTAAAGACACCAATGTGAAGTACTAAGTCACAGGAAGCTGGCATGAGCTCAGTGGTTTCAGTCCAGATTTGAAGGTACAATTATTGAGTGATTTGTGAAGGCTCCTGCTTCATTCCCAGCAAGTTTGAAGTTGCCTTGGACATTTCAATAAGTAAAGGAGTTTGGAAAGTCAGACATGGTGACTTCTGCCTGTAATCCCTGCATTTAGGACACAGTCGGGATGATCTTGAGTTTGAAACCAGCCCGGGCTATATAGTCAAGACCCTGCCTCCATCCCTTGTCCTACCTCGTGAATAAAGCCAGGTGCTGGTGGTGGCTCATGCCTGTAATCCTAGCTCCTCAGGAACCTCAGATCTGAGGATACTGGTTCGAAGCCAGATGGGACACACAGATCCATGAGACTCCGATCTCCAATTAACCAGCAAAAAAAAGCCGGAAGTAGAGCTGTGGCTCAAAGGGTAGCGCCAGCCTTGCACGAAAAAAGCTGAGGGACGGTCCCAGTACTGGCATGAAAGGTGGCCGGGGGGGGGGGGGGGGGTAGGTGAAGGAGATGGGGTAAAGAAGAAGTCCCAGAGTTACTGGGGAAGGACGGGAACTGCCTGGGATCTAAGGCCGGGATTCACACAATGGGAAGAACTCCAGTTCTGGTGGGAACAGGGAAGAAGACTGGATCTGACACTTGGGGGCGGGGGTGGCTCACCGGAGGGGAGGACAGGCACTTAATACAGGGGAGGGGGGACGTCGACGTGTGGGGACCAACGGCTGCGCTGCCCAGAAGTCGACTCCCCAAAAGGGAACAAATGCCTGTCGAGGGCGCCTCGCCAGGAAAAAAGAAAACAACGATCGGGCGGACTGTGGGAGGTAGGACGGTGGGAGGGAGGAAGGGAGGATGGAGGCCCAGGGAGGGAAGAGGGAGGACAGAGGAGGAGGAGGAGGAGGAGAGCGGGAGGACCGGAGAGGAGGAGGAAGGGAGGGCCGAGGGGGAGGAGGGAGGATCGAGGAGGAGGGAGAAAGGAGGACCGAGGGGGAGGAGGAGGGAGGATCGAGGAGGAGGGAGGGAGGACCGGGGAGAGGGAGGACCGAGGAGGGAGGGCCGCGGGGCGAGGCTCCCCACAGCCCCGGCCGCGCCCCAGACTCACCCCGGCCGTAGCCCTGCGTGTGCTTGGCGAAGCTCCGCACCACGGCCTCCACGGCCTCGCGAAGCACGGCGGGGCTGCCGGCCGCGCCGGGGGGCAGCGGCAGCCCGGGGCCCCCCGACGACAGCAGCGGCGGCGGCGGGGGCGGGGCGGGGGGCGGCGGGGCGGGCGGGGGCCCCGCCGGGGGTGTGGCCGCCGCCCCGGTTACCCCGGGCCGCAGCGCCCGCAGCGTGCCCCTTCCGCCGGTGCCCACTCCCGGCTGCAGCCGCTGCGCCCGCAGGGTCTCCATGGCGGCCTCGGGCGCGGTCCGGAGGCCCCCCGAGCCGCCAGCCCCGCCGGCCAAGTAACGGTCCGCGCCACCGCGTCGGGAGCACCCCGGGACGGAGGGCGGGGTCCGGAGCCAGCTATCAGTCACGCGGGGGCGTGGCCGAGCCGGGTCCCGGACCCAATCACCAACGAGAGCGCGGGGAGGGGCGGGCTTCCTCGCCGCCGTAGGCAAATAATGGACGAAGGTGGAGATTCTGAGAACCAATTGCGAAGGAAAAAAGCGTTCGCCTCTAAGAATCCTAGGGATCCTGGGGAGAACACTAGAAATCTGGCCAGACCCCCGGGGGGGCGGGGCTTGAACGGAAAAATAGGCCTGGATGAAAGGCTGAGAACCGTGGGCAGAGTGATCCTTGAGATCACGGGCCCGACCGCTTCATTTTATGATCGTGGATGAGAAAGAAGCGGTGTGACTTGTCCAAGATCACCTATCAACGGCAGTGGAGCAAGGGAAGAGGCTGACTTGAAGTGAGCATACATGCAGTGGACTTTAGTGCGTTGTGCTATTTAATAATTACGATAACAAAGCTGGCTGGTGGCTCACAGCTGTAATTCTAGCTCCTCAGGAGATTCAGATCGGGAGGGTTGTGGTTCTGAGCCAGCACGGGGAGAAAAATCATCATGGATCCTCAGAAGACCCAGTAAAAAGAGTGGAGGCATGCTGCAAATGGTAGGATATCAGCTGAGCAAGCTGTAGGACCTGAGTTAAAGCTCCTGTACTAGCACACAATAAAAAAAGAAAGAAAGAAAGAAAGAAACAACAAAAAAACAAACCTGTGAGTGGTCAAGAAATCAGAAGTTTGAAAATAGAACCGCTAATCTTCTGAGATATCTGCTGATGGTGAAGGGAGAGACTTTTTTTAAGGGATTGTAAAGAATTTAAGGGTGGACATAAAGGGGGCTGGAGGAAATAAGGCCTAGTAAATGTCTAAAAACCTTCAAAACACAGACAACTTGCCTTCTTCTAGTACTACAGTGGCCAGTTGGCCACTTGGAAAGCAGGCAGCTATCTATAAGAATTCCGAGCTGGGCCGGGCGCTGGTGGCTCACGCCTGTAATCCTAGTTACTCAGGAGACTGACATCTAAGTTTTGTGGCTCAAAGCCAGCTAGGGTAGGCAAGTCTGTGAGACTTATCTCCAATTAACCACCAGAATACTGAAAGTGAAGCTATGCCTCCAAGTGGTAGAGTGCTGGGCTGGGAAGGTGGCTCAGTGGTAGAGTGCTTGCCTTACATGCATCAGGCCTTGAGTTCGATTCCTCAACACCAATAAGCAGAAGAAGCCAGAAGTGGCGCTGTGGCTCAAGTGGTAGAGCGCTAGCCTTGAGCTGAAGAGCTGAGAGACAGTGCCCAGGCCCAGAGTTCAGGCCCCACAACCAGAAAAAAAAAAAAAAAAAAAAGTAGTAGAGTACTATCCTTGAGCCAAAAAAGCTCAGGGATGGCGCCCAAGCCCTAAGTGCAAGCCCCATAACTGGAAGAAAAAAAAAAAGAATTCTCTGTCTGGGTGCTGGTGGATCACAACTATAATCTGAGGTCTGTGGATCATGGTTCAAAGCCAGTTGGGGCAGGAAAGACCATGAGACTCCTATGTCCAATTAACCACCCAAAAAAGCCAGAAGTAGAGATGTGACTCATGTAATAGAGTGCCAGCCTTGAGCAAAAAAGCTTAGGGAAAGCATCCAGGCCATGAGTCCAAACCCCAGGACTGGCATGAGCACACACACACATTCCCATGGATCATTATATAGGGGTACCCTAGTATGACCCTCACTCCCCATCCCTCTTTCCCATCATCCTACACCTCCAAGCAGAAGTGACCAAACAAAGACTTCTGAACACATTTATTTGACACGTCACGTGGAGAGAGGAGTGATTTAGATTTCCTCCTCGCTTCTCCCCATGGAGGTGTTCATTTAGCTCTGAAGAGCAGCTTAAAGCCCATGATCCACCTCCTGAGAACACAAGACAACCTGTTGTAGTGCTTAGTGGAACCAGGTGGGAATAAAAATCAGGAAGTTGAGAAATTAAGTTGAGAGCAGGAAGGAGCAGCAGCACAATTGAGACTAGGAGTTGAAGAAGACATCCTGAACAAGTGGGTTGCAGGTGTAAGCAGGGTGTGAACAGGGAGCCAGGCCTGGAGAAAGAAGCAAGGCCTGCCGAATGGGGTGAGTTTTTCATGAAGAGGGAGTCAAGTGTGCCGAATCATGATAGGCTGGGTTGCAGGGAACACATGGAAAGCAAGGGTTGGCTTCCGCAGGAGAGCAAAGATAGCGGACACCTCTTCTTTAGAGGCTCTTTCTCCTGCTTCTGAGTCTGGGACCCTAGCAGAAGTGGTCTTGTGTTTACTGGTCTGCTGTGTCTGTGGGTACACAAGTAATCCCACGTACATGTGAAATGACCAGGACGTGAATGCTCACGTCTTTTATACCCAGTAAAATGGAATGCTTATCTTTCCTTACTCAAAAATCTCCTGTGCTGCCCTGGCTACTCAGGAGGCTGAGATCTCAGGATCCCGGTTGGAAGCCTGCCGGCGCAGGAACTATCTGTTAAGACTTTTTTTTTTTTTAATCTCTAATAAACCACCCAAAAGCAGGGAGTGGAGTTGTGGCTCGAGTAGTAGTAGAGAGGCAGCCTTGAGCGCAAGAAACTAAAGGATAGCGCCCAGGCTCCTAAATTCAAGCCCCAGTACCGGCACACACACAAAAAAAAATCTACCGTGCTTGTGTGGACAAGTTTGCCCTTTGTGTGTGTGTGTGTGTGTGTGTGTGTGTGTGTGTACGCGCGCACGGTGCCATGAACACATGCAATCGGTCCCCAGGTCCGAGGTTGGAGCTGGCGCTCCTCCCACCTGCCCCCAAGGAGGTCCAGGTCCTGTCGGCTCCAGCCAGTCCCTCAGCGCCCCGGCTCCCCAGGCCCCCCGAGACTCTGGAAGCCCCCCAACAGGCGAATCTGCTCCGTCTGCATGGAATGGCGTCTCACCAACTTGCGCTTGGTCCTGGGCGAGCCTGGCGCCCCGGCATGAGGAGGAGGAGGGGCGGGCAGGGAAGGCGCACGACCTCCGGGCTGGGGACGAATGTCGGGGATGGGAGGGTGGGGGCTGACGTTGAGGGGGGGCAGGAAACCCGGCCGGGTTTGCGAGATGTGGTCCAGGAGCAACGTCCCCGAGCCCCTCCGCTCCAGCAGCCCGGGACTCCGCCTCCTTCCGCTCAGGGGCGACACCGCCCCGGGCAGACTTTCCTGGGACTGGCGCGGCGAGGAGACCGAGCCCGCGGGCGGCAGGGTCAGCGGGGAGGCGCTGTAGCGGCGGCGCTCCAGGGCCGGGCGGCCGGGCTCCGGCGAATCGGAGCCAAGGTGCCCGGGGCCGTCCGGCTCCACCGGCTCCAGGCGGCTCAGTTTCTGCCTCCACCCGGCTGGGGCCTCCGGAGCCTCGGGGGCGGTGTTCCTGCGCGACAGCGGACCCCCGCCCGCCACTCTCTCCGCCCACGGGGGAGGATCCTCGGGGCCCTCGGTGCTGTGCCGCCGCGAGAGGCGCGGGCGTCCGGCCACCGTCAGGCCGTTGAATTCGGCCGCCAGGCGCTCTGCCCCCGGCCTGCCCTCGGCCGGGGGGACCGGCTGGGGGGGCGCCACGAGCCCCCAGGGCTCCGAGTTGAGCCTCTTGAGCGGCTTGGGGGGGTGTCGAGGCGGCTTGGGGAGCGGCTCCGAAGGGGAAGGGTCGTCCGGGGGCTTGGGCAGCGGGAATTCAAAGATGTCCCGCTTCTCCTCTTCTTCCTGAGCTCGAGGGGATAACAGTCCCACTCTCCCTCCTCCGCCTCCGCCTCCGCCTCCGGCGGCCGTCTGCAGCTGGATCTCCGAGGGCGACGTGCAGACCCCCGGACTCCGGGGTGCGGGTGCGGGGTCCTCCACCCCCGGCGACGGCGGCGAGTTGAGATACTGCCGCGTCTTCTTGGTGCCCGAGGGCGATGTGTCGGTCGTGATAATGATGACCTCCGTGCCCTTGGCCTTGCAGGCGTCCAGCAGCGTGGCGAGGGTCTCGCGATCCCCTCGGTCGAGGGCGTGCACCAGCGCCGAGGCCCCCGCGTGATCGCGGACCGAGGGGTCGGCGCCGTGGGCCAGCAGCAGCGCGGCCACCGCGGCGCCGCCGCCCCCGGCGCAGGCGTGCATGAGCGCCGTGCGCCCCAAGCGGTCGGCGATGTTGGGGTCGGCGCCTTGCTCTAGGAGGTAGCGGACCATCCGCGCCTTGTTCTGGGGGTCGTCGTAGCGGGCCCGGCAGGCCGCCATGAGCGCGGTCTCGCCCTGGGCATCCCCCTCGTTCACGTAGGCGCCTCCCTCCAGAAGCAAGCGGGCCAGGCGCAGTTTACCCTGACCCACGGCCCGGAGAAGAGCGTGGCCCTCGGTATGCAGCATGGCTGCGGCTGGGGCCGGGAGCACCGTGGGGGGATCCGCCAGGGACCGCGAGAGGAAGGTCGGTGGGGAGGGGGGGTGCTGGCTGGCACCGGCCTGAGGTCTCAGTGGGAAAGCCTATCCCTGCAAGAGAGAGAGAGTGAGAGAGAGAGAGAGGGATCGTAGGGAAGGACGCAGCAGGGGAAACTGAGGCACGCCTGGAGGCGCCCGGCGTGTGGCAAGGGGAAGGTCTCCAACATCACACAGCCCTTCCTCGAGCCCCTGCCTGTGAGCTGCCCCTTCCCTCCCTCCCCCCCCCCCCCAGCGCACGCCCCAGGCGGTGGGCAGGGAACGCGCCTGCCCAGGCGGACCTGCACGCGCAGGGACCCGCGACCCCCACCCCCACCCCACGGCTCCTCAGACCTCCCCCACCTCCCCCTTTCTCCAGGGGCCGGGATGCCACCCACCCACATGCACCCTTCTTCGCGTCAGTCACACGTTATTTTTTTTTTTCATTCCTAACCTCATTTAGATTGCCACAACCCCCAATATTGAGTACGGGGGCGGGGTGGGGGGGAGGAAGCAGATCGCATTGGGGGAACCTGCCAGGGAGCGGAGGAAGAATTGGGGGATTCATCTGCCCCCCCCCCTGCGATATTCTCTGCTTTGATCCCCATCCTCCCCACCCCAGCCCCCCCAGCCCCCCCCCCCCGACTGTCAGCCCAAATAGATACCTGAATATCCGCAGGATCTCCGGCTGGCCAGAATTGAGCCCCGGGCCGAGGAGCCGCCGGGGTGGAGGAGCCGGATGCCTGGAGACCCACATGGCGTGTCGGGGGTGTGGGGTGTGGGGGGCGCACCCAGATTCCCTTGGTGTCAGTGTCTGCGCCCCGGTACTGGATCCCGGTTCCTCCTCCCGGTGCGCCCTGGGCACCGCGCCGGCTCCGGAGGAGAGAAGCGCGGGGCGGGGGGGAGGGGGGGGGAGAGGCGGAGCTTCGCGTTGCTATTTATAGTCCGGGCTCTGCGGGGTGGGGGCGTCCCGCACCAAACTGTGCACACATAAACCCTAAAAAACCCAGGCGCTTAAACCCCGACTTCCCTTTCCTAACCTACCTCCTTCGGCAGCGCCATCAAATCTAAGCAGGCTCCTAGGAGACCCATCGGGGACCAGCGGGGGCTCCGCCGGGCTCCTGAAGCCCATGGCCCGCATTCGCCGTGTTTACGAGCCCCAGTAGCCAGACCCGGCTGCCACGCCCGGCAGATGGCTGGCTAGTAGAGAGGGGCATCCGGAGAAGGTTGGATCCACTTCGGCGTCCACGTTGGGCAGGGAGAAGCAAGAGATGATGCGGCTGCTGGTTGAAATGTCAGGGAGCTGGGAGCTGGTGGCTCACTCCTCATTGCTCAAGAGGTTCGAAGCCAGCCTGAGTAGAAAAGTCTGTGAGCCTCATCTCGAATTAACCAGGCAGGGTGGTGTGCGGGGCGGGGAGCCGGAAATGGAGCTGTGGCTCGAGTGCTAAAGTGAGTTCAAGCCCCAAGACTGGCACAAAATAAAATACGAGCTGTCAGGGAAAGCACAAGCCAGTGTGGAAGCAGATAAAGCCATACATCTTCCACTCCTGCCTCTCCCAAAACAAACATACAGCACAGAGAAACTTGGATCTGAGATCCCATATTTGAACCTGTTAGGTAAGAGTGAGGAAGGTAGATATCCTGGGAGCATTTTGGGGGGGGGGGGGACGGTGATGGGAGGGGTTAGGTCGTGGACCTTAGACCCAGGGCCTGAGCACTGTCCCTGAGTTGTTTTTTTTTACTCAAGCCCACTTTTTTACACAAACCCACTTCCAGTTTTCTGGAGATGAGTCTCACTGACCATGATCCTCAGATCTCAGCCTCCTGAGTAGTTAGGATTACAGGTGTAAACCACTGGTGCCCGACTTCTAGGAGCATTTTTCTAGATAGGGCTAAGGACATTTCCAGCAGTTTCTCTTATTTCTGAAGGGAGGAGCTAGGAGAGCTGCAGAGAGATGAGCAAACCTTGTAATATACTCTTTCTCATTTCATCTCTCTTCATCCTTTTTAATTCTTTTTCTTTATAAATACAGGGCCTAAACCAGGCACCCATGGCTCACACCTGTAATCTTAGCTACTCAGGAGGCTGAGATCTGAGGATCATGGTTCAAAGCCAGCCCAGGCCAGGAAAGTCCATGAGACACTTATCTCCAATAAACCACTCAGGAAACCGGAAGTGGTTCTGTGGCTCAAATAGGAGAGCGCTAGCCTTGAGCTGAAGAGCTGAGAGACAGTGCCCAGACCCAGAGTTTAAGCCCCATGACAAATAAATAAATAAATAAATGGACTGGGAAGGTGGCTCAGTGGTAGAATACTTGCCTTGCAGGTATGAGGTCCTGGGTTCGATTCCTCAGTACCACATAAACAGAAAAAGCCAGAAGTGGCACTGTGGCTCAAGTGGTAGAGTGCTAGCCTTGAGCTGAAGAGCTGAGAGACAGCTCCAGGTCCAGCGTTCAGGCCCCATGACCAACAACAAAAACAAAAACAAAACAAAACAAAAAATAAACCAGGCCCTACGGGCTGGGAAGGTGGCTCAGTGGTAGAGTGCTTGCCTTGCATGCATGAGGCCCTGGGTTCGATTCCTCAGCACCATATAAGCAGAAAAGGCCGGAAGTGGCACTGTGACTCCAGTGGTAAAGCTCTAGCCTTGAGCTAAAGAGCTGAGGGACAGTGCCTAGGCCCAGAGTTCAAGGCCCACAAGGGACAATGAATACATACATACATACATACATACAAACAAGGCCTAGCTCTATAGCCCAGGCAGCACTCCACCTCATGATCCTGCTGCCTCCCTCTCCTCAGTGCTGGGATTCTAGGCATGTACCCCCATGCTTGGCTTCTTTAGTCTTCTTTGTTGCGGAAACTCATTTTCTATCTTGTCTTTTTATCCTCTGTCTTGCTTGAAGGTCCTTGTCCGAATCACTCCTTCTGTCTTCTCTGTTCCTGTACTGTCCCTATTGGTATCTCATACTGTCTCTGGCTCTTCTTGTCACCTGCCCTGTCTCTATGGTTACCATAGATTCCATCTGCATATTTTAGAAGTGAATCTGTGTCCAGCTGGAAGGCACCAAGCAAAGTGGGGGATGAAAAAAAAAACCACACACACACACAAAAACAGGATTTGGAAAGCTCACCTAAGCTCCTAGATAAGTCAGAGGCTGTAGGCCGCCAGACACAAGATACTAAAAATAATGTTTCTGGGGAATGAAGAGTGAAAATATTGCAGGGAAACTACCTATTTTTACTAGTTACTGCCAATTATGAGCCTAGTGCTTTACATATATTATCGCTAATCCTCACACAGCTGTACAAGATAGGAACCATAACCTGTGTGTGCGTGTGTGTTTGTGGGGGGGGGGTGCGTGCTTGCGTGCGTGCACGCACATGCACATGCTAGTACTGGTGCTTAAATGCAGGGCCTACGCTATTAGGCCCCATCTCTTAGCGTTTTCACCCAAAGGTTTCACAGGCTGGCCCCTATCTCTTGAGCCACAGCTCCATGTTCAGCTTTTTGCTGGTTAATTAGGAATAAGAGTCTCACAAACATTTTGGCCCAGGCTGGTTTTGAGCAGAGATCCTCAGTTTTCAGTCCCCCGCATTTCTAAGATTACAGGCATGAGCTACCGACACTCAGTTACTATTTTCTTTTCTCTTTTTCTTTTTTTTGCTGGTCATAGGGCCTGAACTCTGGGCCTGGGCCCTGTCCCTCAGCTCTTCAGCTCAAGGCTAGTGCCCTACCACTTGAGCCACAGCACCATTTCCAACTTTTTCTGATTATGTGGTGCTGAGGAATCGAACCCAGGGCCTCATGCATGCAAGGCAAGCGCTCTACCACTGAGCCACCTTCCCAGCCCCATCAGTTACTATTTTCTTGTAGCATGAGGTTACAACCTCAAGAAGGTTCTCCAAAGCTACACATTTTTTTTTCCTATCCCCAAAACGTCCCTATACCTATTTATTACAGCCTCCCAGAGTAGAGGAATATTCTTCTTGACTGATACCTACATTGCCTCTCATTCTGAACTCTTCCTTTGTTTCTGTTGGACCCCTTAGCTAAGCACAGGTGGCTCATGTCTCTAATCTTAGCACTCGTAACCTTAACTACTCTGGAGGCTGAGATCAAAGTATGATAGTTCAAAACCAGCCTGGCTATATAAAAGTCCATGAGTCTCTTTCTTCCGGTTAACCACCCAAAAGCCGGAAGTAGAGCAGTGGCTCAAGTTGTGGAGCACCAGCCTTGAGCAAGAATAGCTAAGGGGGGTTGGGAAGGTGGCTCAGTGGTAGAGCGCTTGCCTTGCATGCCTGAGGCCCTGAGTTCGATTCCTCAGCACCACATAAGCAAAAAGAAAAAAGCCGGAAGTGGTGCTGTGGCTCAAGTGGTAGGGCGCTAGCCTTGAGCTGAAGAGCTGAGGGACAGCACCCAGGCACTGAGTTCAAGACCCAGTACCAGCACACACACACACAGACACACAGACACACACACACAGTCACGTAGGAGGCTTAGGGGACGAAGGCAGTGGAATACGCAGAAAACATTGTTACCCCAAACCTTCCCAAACCATCTCCCACCTTTGTATGGACAGGAGGACACCCACGGAAAAAACACTTTCAGAAAAGAAGTATCCATGGGGGAAAACCGGGGAAGACTGAAAGGAAAGCTGGAATCTTGGGGGCGAGGCCAAACCATGAAGGCAGCCCCCCTAAACCCTTTCTCAGTCACCCTCCCCCCCCCCCCCCCGCCTTTTTGGCCCCTCTTGGGGAGCGCTCCAGAAATAGATCGCCTTGCAGAGATCTGAGGGTCAGGTTCTCTCCGCAAAGTCTTGCCATCCAAGGGCCTCCTTCCAAGGGGCGAGATCAGAAACAACCCACCGCGGGCGACCCCGTCACCCCAGCTCCCCCGGCGCCCGGCTCCCAAGCCCGGTTCCGGCGCGCACTCCCCCCTCCCTCCCGGACCGCAGGTGGGCGGGCCTGCCGCCTCCGCTGTCCCTGATTGGCTAGGAGAACCCACCAATGGGGCGCTCCGGGAGGCGGGCCAGAACGCCTGCGGCTGGAGGAAGAGGAGCAAATTTCAAGTTGGCCCGGGCCTGGGCCCCGTGCGGGGCGAGGACGCCGCCAGGTAAGGACCTCGCTCGGTCCGCACTTTCCGCACCAGGCCGCCTGGGGTCGCCTGCTGGAGCTGCCCGGCTGGCCGGCAGCCTGTTGGACCGCCCTCCCTCGGGGCCCCTGTCCTCCGTCCCCTCCCGAGCCCCCACTGCTGAGTGGAGAACCGGCGTTCTCCACGGGCGTCGAGGACAGATACTCAAGTGAGGAAGGCTCGGGCTCGAACCCCGGATCCCGCCGTGGCAGCAGCCACCCTCGACGGGGTGAACGAGGTCACCGTGCCCTGTTAGCTTTTAAGACCGCTGGACTAGTGACGCCTACCTGTAGCCTGTAGCTGTATTTATTGCAGATTTCATTGTTCTCCCAGTTGGAGGATACAGTTTGCGTCTTGATTTCTCTCTCTGCCTCTCTGTTTCTGTTTCTTTCCTCTCTCTCGAGGCCTTGCTGTCCACCCTGGCCTGGAACCCAACGTCTTCCTACCTTAGCCTCCTATATGAATGTCCTTCTGCTGGTATAGGCCTTGCCAGGGTGCCAGGTTCATTTTGTGCATATCTTTAACGGAGCGCTTAGTGTAGGTTCCTTTAATGTCTATTCTTAGAATACAAAATTTAGTAGGGCAGATTCTGTTACTTCATTTGTAATATTAATAGAATGGAATTGGGGTTCTTTTTTTTGTGGGGAGACGGCTTGCACTCTTGTTTCAGAGGCAATTTAAACTACGTACTTAGGGACAATAAAAGACAATACAGCCGGGCACCGGTGCCTCACACCTGTAATCCTACCTACTCAGGAGGCTGAGATCTGAGGATTGCTGTTCAAAACCAGGCCGACCAGGAAAGTCTGAGAGACTCTTATCTCCAGTAAACCATTAGAAAACCAGAAGTGGTGCTGTGGCTCAAGTGGTAGAGTGCTTGCCTTGAGCTGAAGAGCACAGGGACAGCGCCCAGGCCCAGAGTTCAAGCCCCAGGACTGACAAAAAAAAAAAAAGACAATAGAGAACAAATGAAGTTCTTTAAATTAGTGGTTTGTAATATTAGTGTTTCATTATTGCTCTTCTCTTTTTTTTTTTTTGGTCCGGTTGTGGGGCCTGAACTCTGGGCCTGGGCACTGTCCCTCAGCTCTTCAGCTCAAGGCTAGCGCTCTACCACTTGAGCCACAGCGCCACTTCCGGCTTTTTTCTTTTTTGCTTATGTGGTGCTGAGGAATCGAACCCAGGGCCTCAGGCATGCAAGGCAAGCGCTCTACCACTGAGCCACCTTCCCAGCCCCTCATTATTGCTCTTATAGTTCAGGGAAGAGAAAACCACAGGGGAACTGGAGAGGAAGCTTTATGAATCACAAGATCTCAATTTTGGAAGGCCCATAGAATTTAAGTACTTGTTCATTCCACAAATATTGACCACTAACTATATGTCAGACACAATGATAGACTATACTTGTCCTAGGGCATCCTTTTTTTTTTTTTGCTAGTCCTGGGGCTTGAACTCAGGGCCTAGACACTGTCCCTGAGCTTCTTTTACTTGAGCCACAGCACCATTTTCAGCGTTTTCTGTGTATGTGGTACTGAGGAATCGAACCCAGGGCTCATGCATGCTAGGCAAGCGCTCTACCACTAAGCTACATTCCCAACCCCATCCTAGGGCATTCTTTAGTCATATGTCTAGAGTGCTTGAACTCAAGGCCTGGGTGCTGGCTGTTCCTAAGGTTTTTCACTCAAGTTTGGTCCTCTATCACTTGAGACACACCTCTATTTCTGGCTTTTTGGTGATTAATTGGAGATAAGAGTCTCATGGATTTTTTTTTTTTTTTTTTGTCAGTTGTGGGTCTTGAACTCGGCCTGGGCACTGTCCCTCAGCTCTTCAGCTCAAGGCAAGTGCTCTACCACTTGAGCCACAGCACCACTTCCAGTTTTCTGGTGGTTCATTAGAGAGAAGAGTCTGACGGGCTTTCCTTCCTGGGCTGGCTTTGAATCTGATCCTCAGATCTCAGCCTCCTGAGTAGCTAGGATTACAGGTGTGAGCCACCGGAGCCCAGCTAGTCTCGTGGATTTTTTTTGCCCCAGCTGGCTTCAATCAGAAATCTTCTGATTTCATTCTCCTGAATAGCTAGAATGATAGTTGTGAGCTCCTAGTACCCATCTGGCAACAACCATTTTTTTCTTTTTTGGGGGATATATATATATATATATATATATATATATATATATACCAAATAAATACTGCTATTGTAAATAGCAGGCTCACGTCTGCAATCCTAGCTACTCAGGAGGCTGAGATCATGATCCTGGTTCAAAGCCAGCCCAAGCAGGAAAATCTATGAGACTCTTATCTCCAATAAACCTTGCAAAAAACTGGAAGAGGCACTGTGGATCAGAGTGGTAGAACTCTATCCTTGAGCAAAAAGAGCTCGGGGACAGCCCCCAGCCCTGAGTTTTGGCCCCATGACCAAAAGTATTCTTAGAGTATATAAGGCAGATATAACTACTGTAGTTATATACTGTGTAATCCCCTGTGGCCTGATAAACCTTAATCCTCCTACTTCAGCCTTTAAAGTGCTGGGATTACAAGTATATAACACCACACCTGACTATTTAAATAACAGAGAAAGTAGAAAAACCTTAAAAACAAACAAAACCTCATTTTCCCAAGTTAGCAGTGTTAATTTTTGTTGCATATTCAAGAACCACATATTTTATTTTATTTTATTTATTTTTTGCCAGTCATGGGTTTGAACTCTGGGCCTAGGCACTGTCCCTCAGTTCTTCAGCTCAAGGCTAGCACTCTACCACTTCAGCCACAGTGCCACTTCCAGCTTTTTCTGCTTATATGGTGCTGAGGAATTGAATCCAGGGCCTCATGCATGCAAGGCAAGCATTCTTATCACTGAGCCACCTTCCCAGCCCCTTGTTTCACTTTTTTTTTTGGGGGGGTCCGGGCATGGGGCCTGAACTCTGGGCCTGGGCGCTGTCCCTCAGCTCTTCAGCTCAAGGCTAGCGCTCTACCACTTGAGCCACAGCGCCACTTCTGGCTTTTTTCTTTTTGCTTATGTGATGCTGAGGAATCAAACCCAGGGCCTCATGCATGCAAGGCAAGTGCTCTACCACTGAGCCAACTTCCCAGCCCTTGTTTCACTTTTTTATTGTTATTATAAAGGTGATGTACAGAGAACAAAATGATGATGGTAAGAATACTTTTTTTTTGTCAGTCGTGGGGCCTGAACTCTTGGCCTGATTGCTGTCTCTCAGATCTTCAGCTCAAGGCTAGTGCTCTACACTTGAGCCACAGTGCCACTTCCTGCTTATGTGGTGCTAAGGAATCAAATCCAGGGCTTCATGCATGCAAGACAAGCATTCTACCACTGAGCCACCTTCCCAGCCCAAGAGACACTTTTTGCCAGGAGCTAGTGGCTTACACTTATAATCCCAGCTACTCAGGAGCCTGAGATCTAAGGATACAGTCAAAGCCAGTCCAGACAGACAAATCAAGAAAGTCTTATCTCCTATTAGCCTGCAAAAAGCCAGAAGTGGAGGTGTGGCTCAGGTGGTGGAGTGCTAGCCTTGAGTGGAAAAAAAAAAAAAAAAACTAAGGGAGAATATAAGTCTCAGATCTCAAGCCCTAGTACTGGCAGCAACAACAACAAACCCAGAGTCTTTGTGTTGCAGTTCTACTCAACAGCCATTTTCTTTTCAGAAATACCCCTGTGGCACTGAACCTTCTCAGTCAAACTTGTTGGCTGATGTTAGCTTTCCCAGTGTCCTAGAGAGAAGCTCATCGGTTTGCATCTTGTGTCTCCTTGGCTTCCTGTCTATCCCATCGTCCTTTTTCTCTCTCTGTGTTTTTATCTTTCTCAGGTTTTCCTCGCTGGATCTCTGAATAGCCAGGCCCCCCTCCATCATGGCCGGCCGGGGAGGGGGCCGGGGCCGTGGCCGGGGCCAGTTGACTTTCAACATGGAGGCTGTGGGCATTGGGAAAGGGGATGCTCTGCCCCCACCCACTCTCCAGCCTTCTCCACTCTTTCCTGTGAGTGTTTCTTCTCCCTCCCCACCCCTGAGCGCTCCAGACTGACTGCATGTGACTGAATGAATTCTGCCTCATCAGAAAACCATCCCCAGTTCAGGTGCCACTGGCTCACACATGGAATCCCAGCTCCTCAGGAGGCTGAGATCTGAGCTACCCTGCGAGTAAGAATCCAAGGGATTCTTATTTCCAAATTACCATCAAAAAGCTGGAAGTAGAGGCATGGCTCAAATGGTAGGACACCAGCCAAAAATAAATAAATAAATAAAAGCCAGGTGCCAGGGCTCACGCCTGTCATCCTAGCTACTCTGGAGGCTGAGATCTGAGGATCACGGTTCAAAGCCAGCCCGGGCAGGAAAGTCCCTGAGACTTTTATCTCCAATAAACCACTTGAAAACTGGAAGTGGCACTGTGGCTCAAGCAGTAGAGCTCTCGCCTTGAGCTGACGAGCGCAGGGACAGCACCCAAGCCCAGAGTTCAAGCCCCACGACCAACAACAACAACAACAAAAAATCACAAGAGGCCCTGAATTCAAGTCCTAGTAATCACATAAACAAATGAATAAATACCATCTGTATCTTGCCTCTCCTTCTTCCAACTCATAGAAGATTTTTCTTTTTTTTTTTTAACTGTATTTTTTTTTGTCTTTTCTTTTTTGGTACTGGGGATCAAACCCAGGACGTTGCACTTGCTAGGCAAGCGCTTTGCCACTGAGCTACATCCCAGCCCCTACACAGAAGATATTTCTAATCAAAGAAATCTTTAGCCAGGCACCGGTGGCTCATGCCTGTCATCCTAGTTACTCAGGAAGCTGAGATCTGAGGATCATGGTTCAAAGCCAGCCCAGGTAGAAAAGTCCGTGAGACTCTTTTTTTTTTTGGGGGGGGGGGGGGGGTCCAGTCGTGGGGCCTGAACTCTGGGCCTGGGCGCTGTCCCTCAGCTCTTCAGCTCAAGGGTACCACTTGAGCCATAGCACCACTTCCAGCTTTTTTCTTTTTGCTTATGTGGTGCTAAGGAATCAAACCCAGGGCCTCAGGCATGCAAGGCAAGCGCTCTACCACTGAGCCACCTTCCCAGTCCGTTTGTGAGACTCTTATCTGCAGTTAGCCACCAGAAAACAGGAAGTGGCGCTGTGGCTCAAGTGGTAGAGTACCCACCTTAAGCTGAAGAGTTGAGGGACAGGGCCCAGGCCCAGAGTTCAAGCCCCACCACCAAAACAACAACAAAAATCTTTACCCTTTCCTCACTTCCAGCTTCCCAGCTCTCAAAATGCCACATGCCATGTTCCCATTCTCTTTTGCCCTTCTATTCACTGGAACTCTTGGATTAAATTGAGACAATCAATCAGGCACTGATAGCTCACGACTGTAATCCCAGCTACTCGAGAAGCTGAGACCTGAGGATCACAATTCAGTTAGCCCAGGCAGGAAAGTCTGTGAAACTCTTATCGCCAAAGCCAGAGGTAGAAGTGTGGCTCAAGTGGTAGAGCACTAGCCTTGAGCAGAAAAAGCACCCAGGCCCTGAGTTCAAACCTCAGTACTGATACAAAGATTAACTAGTGAAGGGGAGAGACCTTCTAAGGTTTATGCTTCACTAATTTCTTCCTGAACTGATAATGCTTCTGCTTCCTTAGCCCTTGGAATTCCGCCCAGTGCCTCTGCCCTCGGGAGAGGAAGGGGAATATGTCCTGGCATTGAAGCAGGAGCTGCGTGGCGCCATGAGGCAGCTCCCCTACTTCATACGGCCAGCTGTCCCCAAGAGAGGTCAGTTGAAATGCTAGAGGTCAGCTGGGTGAGAAAAAAAAAAGTGAGCAAGACATTTCCACAAAACAAACTGGGCAGTTTGGCTCCCGCCATTCATCCCAGCAAGCACCAGACCAGGGGAATCAGGTTGGCCTCTGGGCAAAAGCAAGAATTTGTCTGAAAACAGACTAAGCAAAACTAAGCAAAACACAGGCTGGGGATGGGGCTACAGTGGTAAATCACAGTCCTTGAAAGTGTAAGACCTGAGTTCAAACACCAAATATCACCAAGAAAAGGAAGGTGGCTTAGTGGTAGAGTGCTTGCCTAGCATGCATGAGGCCCCGGGTTTGATTCCTCAGCACCACATAAACTGAAAAATAGCTAATTAAATTAAAAGAGAAAAAAGCATATGTATTTTTTGTCAGTCGTAGTGCTGGAACTCTGGGCCTAGACATTATCCCTCAGCTCTTCAGCTCAAAGCAAGTGCTCTACCACTTGAGCCACAGCGCCACTTACGGTTTTCTGGTGGTTTATTGGAGAAATGGGTCTCATAGACTTTCCTGCCTGGGCTGGCTTCCAGGCTTGATCCTCAGATCTTAGCCTCCTGAGTAGCTAGGATTACAGGCATGAGCACGGACGCTCAGCTGAGAAAAAATATTTTAAAAAGGAAAAGAAATGCTAAAACAGAGTGCCTGTCATTCCCATACTCAGCACCCCTGAGGGCCAGGAGACCCAGGAGGCTGAGGAAGCCAGCTCAGGCAGATGAAAGTGTGAGACACTTACCACCCTGTGAACCAGCAAAACGCTGGAAGTGGAGGTGTGGCTTCAGTGGTAGAGTGTCAGCCGTAAGTGAAAAGGCCAAGTAAGAGAGAGAGAAAGAGAGAGAAAGCCTGTTTAGTCTTCAGCACTGGCGCTGAAAAAGGATCAACTCTGCCAGCCAGGAACCCCTGCGTCTTGTTCTCTGGACTACTACTTAAATACAATTGTTTCTGAGCCAAGAGATAAAAGAAAAGCTGTCATAATTTTGGATGTCAAAGGGACAAGTTAGAAGATTGAGTCCCTGGTCTCTGGGTTTGGGGTGAGGGGACAGATAATTCTTCAGAATTGAGAATAGGAATAACCTTTGTTCTAGGGATAAAACTTCTGACTCTTGATCTTTGACCCCTCAGATGTGGAACGTTACTCAGACAAATACCAGATGTCAGGACCCCTCGACAATGCCCTTGACTGGAACCCTGGTAGGTGATGGGACTCTTCATTGACTGTTTCTTTCAGATGTCCCAGATGCCTCAAACCATGCCAGTGTCCACCTCCAGTGTCCTTCCCTCCCCTCCTGCATGCAGTATCCATCAACCAGAACCTTCCATGTACTCCTAAAGATTCTTGGAAACCTGAGAAACCAATCTAAGAGACCCCACCCCTCCAGAGATGTCCAAGCCAGTTTTAGTTTGAGAAACATCAACCCAACTCCTTCTCTCCTCAGTTTGAAAACCTTTCCTTCAGCTGGGTACCAATGGCTTATGCCTGTAATCCACGCAACTCAGAAAGCTGAGATCTGAGGATTGCAGTTCCAAACCAGCAGGAAAGTCCATGAGATGCACATATCCAGTTAACCACCAAAAAGCTGTGGTTCAAGTAGTAGAGTGCCAGCCTTGAAGGAAAAAACTAAGGGACAAGTGCTCAGGCCCTAAGTTCAGACTCCAGGACTGGTGCATGCGTGTGTGTGTTAAAAAAACTTGTCCTTGGGGCTGGGAAGGTGGCTCAGTGGTAGAGCACTTGCCTTGCATGCTCCAGGCCCTGGGTTCAATTCCTCAGCACCACACTAAGAAAAAAGCCGGAAGTGGCGCTGTGGCTCAAGTGGTAGAGTGCTAGCCTTGGGCTGAAGAGCTGAGGGACAGCACCCAGGCCCAGAGTTTAGGCCCCATGACCAGACCCAAAAACAAAAACAAAAAAACTTGTCCTTTTTAGCACTAATCATTCATAAAAGATCCCAGGTCAGATCTTATTGATACTCACACTCTCTCTATTACCAGATTGGCGGCGTCTACCACGGGAGCTAAAGATTCGAGTGCGAAAGCTACAGAAAGAGCGTAAGTGTATCTATCTGGGGGAAAAAAGAGTTTATCATCAATTAGCAGAGCCTCTCAATCCCTCCCAATACCCACTCAGTCCGTAAATTGTGGCTGGGTGCCATAGTGGCCACTAGAGGGCAACAGAGTGTCATATTTGCTGCAGGAGGTACTAGAAGGTGTTGACACTAGTAATTCACTTTTTGATGCCCCTCCCAGGCACCACCATTCTACTCCCCAAGAGGCCCCCAAAGACCACAGAAGACAAGGAAGAAACAATACAGAAACTAGAGGTGAGGAGGAAGTGTGCCTAATGCACTCCTGGGCCTCAGGTTCATTCCTTGTTGGAATGAACCTGGACCCTGTACGTCTCAAATTGTCCCATTCACTAGCTGAGTGTGTTTCTTTTTCCATTTGTTTTCACCAAAGACCCTAGAAAAGAAAGAGGAAGAAGTGACTTCAGAGGAAGATGAGGAGAAAGAAGAAGAAGAAGAAAAGGAGGAAGAAGAGGAAGAGGAGTACGATGAAGAAGAACATGAAGAGGTGAAGGGGACTGTCCACCCTCCATCCCCTTCCTACCTTGTTCTTGACTTTTTTTTTTTTTTTGGTCCAGTCATGGGGCCTGAACTCTGGGCCTGGGCGCTGTCCCTCAGCTCTTCAGCTCAAGGCTAGTGCTCTACCACTTGAGCCCCTTCCGGCTTCTTTCTTTTTGCTTATGTGGTGCTGAGGAATCAAAACCAGGGCCTCAGGCATGCAAGGCAAGCCCCTTACCTCCTTTTTTCATAGATACTCTCCTTAGAAGTTTGGAGAACCAAAGGAGGTGGTACCTCACGAGAGTAGGAGCCTTCATGAATTCATCTGTCCCTGGGTTCTTCTCAAAAATGATCTACCATGGGCTGGGAAGGTGGCTCCGTGGTAGAGTGCTTGCCTGGCATGCATGAAGCCCTGGGTTTGATTCTTTAGTACCACATACACAGAAAAAGATGGAAGTGGTGCTGTGGCACAAATAGTAGAGCACTAGCCTTGAGCAAAGGAAGCTCAGCTGAGTTCAAGCCCCAAGACCGGCAAAACAAAACAAGCAAACAAACAAACAAAAAACGAACTATGAGCCAGGTCTGTGGCTTACACCTGTTATTCTAGTTCCTTGGGAGGCTGAGAAATGGGAACCACAACAAAAAGTTCCTGAGGCTCTCCCTTCTCAAGCAAGTGTTGGTGTGTTGTATGTGTGTCTGTTATTCTAGTTACAACAGGAAGCCTAAAAACAGATCAAGACCCAGAAATGCAACCAGACAGAAAAAGCAAGACCTTATCTCAGAAATATTCAGTGTAAAAAAATGCTGGAGGTGTAGCTCAGCAGTAAATCATCTGCCTAGCCTATGTGAGGCCCCAAGTTCAACCCCAGTGTTGCCCCGTCCCCCAAAAAAACCCCACAAATCCTACAGCTGAAAGGAAATAATATGCTAGGGAAGAGGCCTGCTACAGAGAGAGGAAGGCTGTGGCTGAAAGCATGCCTGACTTTTACTTCTTTTCCATTTCAGGAAACTGACTACATCATGTCATATTTTGATAATGGAGAAGACTTTGGGGGTGACAGTGATGACAATATGGATGAGGCCATATACTAAAGAAAGGTCCCTAGCAGCACGCCATCCTCATAATCATTCTTGATTTGGGATATAGAAACTGTCTCTCCCATTTAGTTTAATGGACAGTGAAAAACAAACACAAAAAACTGGCCCCTGGAGCTGAAGCTGGGAGTGGAGAATTGTGACAGATAGCCTTTTCTCCTCACCCCATCTTTATATAGCTTCTGATATCTTACAGAAAGAGGAAAAGACTAATATCGTTAAAATACAGTAACAGCAAGGAGACAGAGTTACTGGCTTGTTGGAGCTGAATGAGACCACTGTGTACATATCCTTACCCAGGTTTTACAGGTCACTGTGAATTTAATTGAGGGTGAGTTTCACATTTTTTAATAAAGTGTTTTTATTATCTGTGCAGTGTGAGTCTGGTGGGGGAGGGGAGATGAAAGGCTGACAGGATGTCCAACTGAGCCATTTTTTATATTTCCAGTAGGACATGGGTGAGGGGTGGGAGAAGGGGGGAGAAGGTTCTAGTAGCTCACGCCTGTAATCCTAGCTACTCAGAAGGCTTAAGATGTAAGGATCGAGGTTCAAAACCAGCCCCTTCAGAAAGACTATCTCTAATTAACCATCCTAAAATGAATAAAGCCAAGCAAGAATTCAGGCCCTGAAGATACACTCAGGGGCATAGTGCACTCAAGTCCACAGCCCCTCTTCTAGCCATTGGGAAGTCTTGCCCTTTTCTTCCTTCCCTTCCACTCCCATGGAGGACATCTACTTGCAACCAAGTTCAGCCAGAGGAGATTCAGGAACTTGCCTGGAGGGCTGCCTAATGTCTAGAAACTTCTAGAGTCTGTATTCTTCCACAAATCCACTGTCCTCTGAGTCTCAGGTCCTCAGGATATAGGAATCTGTGTTCATACAATGTTCACAGGTTAGAGGCCCTTCCTTTCCCACACTTGACCTTGATCATGACCTTATTTACAAAATAAAAGATTAAGTTCTGGAGAAAGGTGCCAGAAGGAAGAAGGGAGGAGGGGCTGACATCTGGTCTGCAAATGCCCTTCTCCTGGGCCTAAAGACTGCACTTTGGACTTTGTGGTGATGGTTTCTAATTGTGCCAGTACCAGAGCTTGAATTCTGGTCCTAGGTGTTATCCCTTGGCTTTTTTGCTCCAAGTTGGCCTTCTACCACTTGAGCTACACTTCCTTCTGGCTTTTTGCTGGTTAAGGGGAGATAAGCGTCTCAAGGAGTTGGCTGTCCTGGCTGGCTTGGAGCTGCGATCTTCAGATCTCATCTTCTAAGAAGCTAGGATAACAGGCTTGATCCACTGGTGCCCAGATGAGACCCCACTGTGAAAGATAACATCTCGTAGAGCAAGCTCTGAAAACACCCGAATCTCCTCCATCTGGAGAAGCAGGGTGTGCTTACAGTTTCGCTTTTGGTTTTTCCCTTTGGCCTTCCTGGCTCCTTCCCTTGGGGAGGGGGTAGGTGGTTTTACAGAAGGCAGTGACTTTAGGGACACTCACAGCTCTGGGAGTTGTTTCCTCACCCACGCGGTTCTGCTTTGAGTGAGGTCACTTCCCTAGGCTCTGATTGGCTGCCAAGGAAGCCTTCGGTGAGGTGATTGGTTCCAGCCTCTTGGCATGCAGCAGACACGAGTAGAGCTGCTTGTCCAGAATAGGAAGTGAATGAGATATCTGGGGTGCTATCACCCAGGCCTTGCCTGGCTTTTGAAAGTCATAAGACAGAGTGTAGGAGAGAAACTTCAAGAAATTTCCCAACTACAAATCGGAAGGCAGACTGAATTCTCTTATAATAGAAGGTGACAGAGACTTGAACATCTAACGGGGTTTGATGTTTCTGACCTCACTGAAAAAAAAAAAAACTCGATTAAGGGAAAGCATCTATAAAGCCTGGTTGACTGTGCTAGTGTTAAGAGAGAGGCAAGCCAAGAAAACAGAGAGCAAGAATAGAAGGAGAACATTCCAGAGTTATTGAGCAATTTGTGATGATTGATGTGTATCCCTTTCTTGCTCTCTGATGTGTTGTGGGGAGGAGTGGAGGCCAGGGGACTTGTGGCTGCCATTTCCTAGAGTTATACCTCAGCCAGTAGTTAAAACCAGAGAGAGATCAGCCAAAAAGCAAACTAACATGAAAGCAAACAAAGCAAACACTGGGCAGTTCATGCCTGTAATCCTAGCTGTTCAGGAGGCTGAGATCTGAGGATCAAGGGTCGGATGCCAGCTGGAGCAGACAAATCTAAGAGACTTTTTTTTTGGGGGGGGGGAGGGGCCTGAACTCTGGGCCTGGGCACTGTCCCTCAGCTCTTCAGCTCAAGGCTAGTGCCCTACCACCTGAGCCACAGTGCCACTTCCAGCTTTTTCTGTTTATGTGGTGCTGAGGAATCGAGCCCAGGGCTTCATGCATGCAAGGTAAACACTAAACACTCTACCACTGAGCCACTTTCCCAGCACCCAAATCTAAAGAGACTCTTATCTCTAATTAACTAGCAAAATTCAGGAAGTAGAAGTGTGGCTCAAGTGGTAGAGTGCCAGCCTTGAGAAGAAAAAAAAGCTAAAAGCCCCAAGGTCCTGATTTCAAGTCTCAGTACTGGTACCAAAACAAAACAAAAACAACAAAAATTGTATTTACATGGGCTGGGAATGTGGCTTAGTGGTAGGGTGCTCACTTAGCATGCATGAAGCCCTGGGTTTGATTCCTCAGTACCACATATACATTAAAAGCTGGAAGTGGCACTGAGGCTCAAGTGATAGAGTGCTAGCCTTGAGCTGAAAAGCTGAGGGACAGTGCCCAGGCCCAGAGTTCAGGCCTCACAACCGGACCCAAAAAAAAAAAAAAAAGTAAAAGACACTGGAACTTTCCTTTTTGTCTTTTCCCCTAACACACACACATACACACATTCACACATGAACCGTAGTCAATTATGTCTGTGTTTATGTTGGAGGCAGAGCTACCCACAAATCCCACATATCTGTCTGGAAACTTTAAACAAGAAAAGGGAGGGGACCAGGTGCCAGTGGCTCACACCTGTAATCCTAGCTACTCAGGAGGCTGAGATCTGAGGATCGTGGTTCAAAGCCAGCCCAGGCAGGAAAGTCTGAGAGACTCTTATCTCCAATAAACCACCAGAAAACCGAAAGTGGTGCTGTGGCTCAAGCGGTAGAGTGCTCGCCTTGAGCTGAAGAGCACAGGGACAGCGCCCAGGCCCAGAGTTCAAGCCCCACAACCGACCACAAAAAAAAAAAAACAAAAGAACTGAGAACTGAGTTCAAAGCTAGCCCAGGCAGGAAAGTCCATGAGACTCTATTAACTCCAATTAGCCACCAGAAAAAACCAGAAGTGGCACTGTGGCTCATGTGGTAGAGCACTTGTTTTGAGCTGAAGAGCTCAGAGACAGCACCTAGGCCCAGACTTCAATCCTCATTACCAACCAAAACGGGGGGGGGGGGGGGGGGGGGGGGGGGGGGGGGGGGATAAAGGGAAGGGAGAAAAGAGTGCTGAGGGGCAGGCACCACCTCTCCACCCTCGCCCCTACACACACACACACACACACACACACACACTCTCTCTCCTTTCCCATAAACTGGAGAAAGGAGGACAAAGGTTGGAATGACCCTTGGGATCTGTTGTACTGCCTCAGAAGTGTTGTACTGCCTCAGAAGTGAACTGTTGGAAAGTTCATACCATTCTCATGCTCTGCCCTGCCTGCCTCCTGCCTTGTGTGGCGGGTGACCCTGCTGGACAAAGCCAATGACACAAGACCCAGCAGCTTCCCCAGATTCTGGATCAGGTCCAGGCTTTAGCTAAGACTGTTTCCATTGACCTTTCCCCAACTTACCATGGGTGTTATTGAATGGGCAGAGGCTGGAGCTGCTGGCCTGGCAGACAGACATGCTTCCCATTTGGTTAGGGTGTGCGCCCATCCTGCTTCCAGAGGCCCCTCATGTGCTGGCCACCCTGGTCACACCTGCTAAGGCCTGTCTACGTACAATAGAATGTGCCTGTGTCTAAAGCATGGACTAAACTAGCCCCAAGCAGAGTAGGCTCTACAGCAAGAATCATTTTGTGGCTGGGCACTGGTGGCTCACACCTATAATTCTAGCTACTCAGGAGGCTGAGATCTGAGGATCGGGATTCAAAGTTATCCTGGGCAGGAAAGTCCATGAGACTATCTTAACTCCAACTAACCAGGAGCTGGGAAGGTGGCTCAGTGGTAGAGCACTTGCCTTACATGCATGAGGTCCTGGGTTCAATTCCTCAGCACCACATAAGCAAAAAGAAAAAAGCCGGAAGTGGTGCTGTGGCTCAAGTGGTAGAGCACTAGCCTTGAGCTGAAGAGCTGAGGGACAGCACCCAGGCCCAGAGTTCAGGCCCCACGACCACCAAAAAAAAAAAAAAATCCTTGTGTGTGTGTATGTGTGTGTGTGCGTTGGTAGCAGGCTTGAACTCAGGAACTAGGAGCTGTCCCTTAGCTTTTTTGCTCAAGGCTAGCTGGTGCTCTACCACTTGAACAACAGCTTCACTTCCGGCTTTTTGCCGGTTAATTGAAGATAAGTGTGTTTGGATTTGCCTACCCATGAGCCTTTGGCACCCAGCTAAGATCCTATCCTCCATGCATGTTGCTCTCCTTAGCTACCTAGCCATGTCCCGGCTGGGCAGGCAGCTGAAATGCAGGTGGTCTGAGGGAAAACAAAATAGGAGACTTGGCTATACATTTACTTTAGTCTGGGAGTAGACAGCAAAGAAAAATGGAGAGTTCCAGGCCAAAAAAAAAAAAAAAAGCATGATTGAGGTTATATATAAGGGAAAAAAAAAGGGGTTTTCTTCAATTAATTTTTATAGCTGTATAGGAAGAGAGAATGGCTTTTTTTTTTTTTTTTTTGTGTCGGTTGTGGGGCTTGAACTCTGGGCCTGGGCGCTGCCCCTCAGCTCTTCAGCTCAAGGTGAGCACTCTACCACTTGAGCTACAGTGCCACTTCCGGTTTTCTGGTGGTTTATTGGAGATAGGAGTCTCACGGTCTCTCCTGCCCGGGCTGGCTTTGAACCGCGATCCTCAGATCTCAGCCTCCTGAGTAGCTAGGATTACAGGCGTGAGCCACCAGCGCCCGGCTGAGAGAATGGCTTATAGGCATAGGCCGGTCAAGAATTAAGTCAAGCTGGGACACTGGTGGCTCACACCTGTAATCCCAGCCACTCAGATGGCTGAGATCTGAGGATCAAGTTTTAAACCCAGCCCAAGCTGGAAAGACCTTGTAAGTCTCTTCAACCAATCTCCAGTTAACCACCAAAAAGCTGGAAATGGAGCTGTGGCTCAAGTGGAAGAAAACTAGCCTTGAGCACAAAAGCTCAGAGGCAGCGCCCAAGCCCTGAATTCA